TGAATTTCGATCGTTCGAGTTTGTTTAGGCCTCGAAAACTGATTTTTAAAGTTTTAGCAATATTTTTGTCAATTCGTTTTTTTTCGTTTTTTTTTTTTTTTACAATTCTAGTTTGATTAAACTTTTTTTTCATTACTTTTAGTTGTTCTAAATTATGTTTCCATGTAAAACCTTATAAATAAGGGCTTAGCTCTTTTTTTATTATCCTTTCATTAATAAATTCGTGAGTTTATTTTCTTTATTATTTGATAGATTCCAAATTGTTCATTCTTAAGGTTTTCACTTGAATTTCTTTATTTTACTGTGTTAAGCCCCCTCACATGATCGTGGGCCCCCTCCTATTAGGGGGCTGTCAGTCTTGCCCAATGGTGAACTATCCAATAATAGATATTTAACCAAATTAAGTAGTAATTTTATCTAATTGACTCTCTCAAATATTCAATTTTGATCATCAAGGTTGTGTAGAAATTACAACTATAAGTCACAAGCCGAGTGTGGCTACTTTTTAGCCTACGGTCAAGTCCGTGATGTCCACAAACCTATGACAACTAGGAATTGACAAAATTTATTTTGTTTAGTGAATCGTTTAGATGAAGCCGTGTGTCATGTATCCAATGAACTTCAACTAATATCTCTTGGTGTATATTTGCACGTACTGATATCCAAAGGTAATGTGAAAATATATAAGATTACTTTCTCAATTTTGAAAACATCATCTCTTCAACTCGAAGTGCTGACCACTGCATTTTTCCTGACTATGGTCACATGTAGCCTAACAAGGTGTCCAATTGTTTAAATAACACACGTAGATGGGAAGAGGGGCCAAAATCCATTAGCAGCGCTTGATATGGAGCCTATTCTTGTGGGGATTTTTTGTGAATTTCATTGCTTGATATGTATCAAGTTCCAGGCAAAAAAATAAAATAAAATAAAATAAAAATTCGAAACTTGGACTATTTTCGTATATGCTCCTTAGAAATTGCATCCTTCGTGTTTAACCTCCTGTTAATGTCATCTTGTGTTAAAAAACAAACTTGATTTTCAATAGGGCATTTTCTAAATTTTGTTTGCTTTCCTTCCATCTCAACATGTCAAAATTATTCACTGCCTTCCCAGCTCCCACATCCTTTCATCATCTTGCTATGATCGATCGCTAAAAGTGCAAACCGCAAGTGCACTCATCATGTTCAAGTAATAAAAGTGGATTTTTAAAGTTAGATTTGTCGATCACTCGAGAAATATTTACTTTAGATTACACAACTCTAATTAATTTAATTTTAGCAATAAAAATAAACACACAATAAAATTGAATTTTGGAAAATGAGAAAAGTTAACTAAAAGTCTACAAAATAAGAAAATATAAAAACTTGGGAATTTTGAAGGAAAAATGTGATTGGAATTCATGGTTTCACTTAACCGTCTCCTAATTAATTTCCTCACAAGCCAATTAATAAATTACTCATTTACGATGCTAGACCCGATCTTTCAATTTTAGTTAATTACCTCTCTCGAGAAAAATTAATTATAATTAATTGGTTTAACCTACTATATCTGTATGTCGATTAAAATCAAACAACCACATTAAATATTTGTGAAAATAACTTAATGGGTCAACTAGAGTTAGGGATGTATCTCTATCCCTTACACAAGCCAATGGTTTCTACTATTTGATCTCAAATGTACAATTTTCTCTTAAAAGATGTACAATCACTAAATATAATCATTCATTGGCTATATAAATGAAAATGCAAAAAATACAATAGTAAAAACACATGAAAATAAGTATTCAAACATTAACAAGCAACTATTGAAAAAGACAATAAAAAGAAGGGAAAAAAAGGAAGAAGACTGCCTCCTCTTCCACCTGTCCTTTTTTAATTAAAAACCCTATTCAGAATGCAGCTCAAGTCCTCAATTTTTGAAAGAAAATACAAAATGGTCCAAAAACTTTTAATTGTGGCGCCTCAAGCCTCAACCAAGAGCACAATTTTGTTTGCAGTCAAGTCCCTAAGAGCGCATTTGGTTTGTCGTTTTCTAGCCGTTTTCTATTTTTAGCTTTCAAAAATGTCTAAAACATGATTGGTCACTCGTTTTCGAAAATGCATTTTCGAAAACAAGGGAAAATTTATAAATGAAAACTCAAAATGATTTTTTTTTCCGTTTTCGGTGTTTTTAGTGAAAAAAACTCAAAATGCGAAAAACGTTCAAAACACGTCGTTTTCTATTTTTTTTTACCTAGTGGATGCTCTCAGCAGTACTTTTAAAATAGTAAATTCACCAAATTTAAAATATATATTATTTGATAATATATTAACGTAAAATTATTATATTTTACTAAATAATCAAATTAATTGAATAAATGTCATAAAACAATTTCTAAAAATTTATTATTTTATTTTATAGCAAGAAAAAATAATAAAGTCACAAAGTTTAAACTATATATTTTAAAATATATATTATCTGATAATATATTAGCATAAATATTATGTTTTACTAAATAATCAAATTAACTGAATAAATATAATAAAACAATTTCTAATAATTTATTATTTATTATTTTACTCTTGTAGCAAGAAAAAATAGTAAATTTATCAAGTTTAAAATATATATTATCTGGTAATATATTAGCATAAAATTATTATATTTTACTAAATAATCAAATTAATTAAATAAATGTCATAAAACATTTTTTCAAAATTTTAAACCAAACACATTTTCCAGTTTTCTATTTTGAGAAACGGTTTTTTAAAATGACAAACCAACCACATTTTTTGTAATTCGAAAATGATCCCTCAAAACAAAAAATTAAAAATAAATTCAAAACTAAAAACAGAAAATGGAAATGTAAACCAGACGCACCCTAAATAATTTCATATTATGTCCCTCAATTTTGATCTTATACAATTTGATTATCAAATTTTGACTTTATACCAATTTGTCTTGCCCTCCATAAATTGAAGCCCAACGTCCTCAACTTTCCACATTTGTGCACTTTGGTCCCCACTTCACAATTTTGCAAATTTTGGTTCTTTTTCACCTCCTTTTTGCATTGTTCTATTTCCTTGGGAGATTTTTACCTACGAAAGCAATAATTACGTATCTGTGAATAGAAATTCACTCATTTAATCAATATTGAAGTTTATTTAGATATTAAATAAGTGTCACACTTATCAATAATCAATATAGAGACTACCATAATCCAAACTCCAATTCTGATACTCTTGTAAAATCAATAGTGTAGGAGTTGTTTCTCTTGGGACGTTGCTGTGTTCACAAAAAAAAAAAATATATATATATACACTCACATACCAGATACAGAACAGACACAAAAGCAGGGTGAGTGGGAGAGTTTTTTCCATTATTTTATTAACCGGGACCCACCTCAATGCGAGATTTCTGTAGGTTTTCTGTGAAAATATTCTTTGTACACATGGAAAAATTCGTTTCTCTTAACCCGAACTCAATAAGCGCAGGTACAATTTTGATCAAAGAAATTGAGATAAGAAATGATAATAATACTTTTGACTTCTTCAAATTTTCTCTAAGCTCGGTCTTTGATGAAGTTGATAAAGTGGAGCTGTTCAGTCCATCATCGATAATGTAAGGCGTAAGATCAACTAGCGTTCTGGCTCAACGCTCTTCCATACAAACCACTGAAGTTTTTAGTTTTCACTGGACTATTATCGTGCAAAACTCAGAGTCGAGTTGAAAGTCCGTCATGCAGCGCTGCTATTTAAACCAACTTGGCTCCATTTCTTTATTGCCTTTTTTTTTTTCCTTGATACTCTAGTTTGGAGGGGTTTTCTTTTTTTTTTTTTTTTTTTTTTTTTTTTTTTTTTTTTTTTTTTTTTTTTTCCTTTATTCTCTTTTTTTGGGGGGTTTTTTTTTTTTTTTTTTTTTTTCCTTTATTCTCTTTTTTTGGGGGGTTTTTTTTTTTTTTTTTTTTTTTCCTTTATTCTCTTTTTTTGGGGGGTTTTTTTTTTTTTTTTTTTTTTTCCTTTATTCTCTTTTTTTGGGGGGTTTTTTTTTTTTTTTTTTTTTTTCCTTTATTCTCTTTTTTTGGGGGGTTTTTTTTTTTTTTTTTTTTTTTCCTTTATTCTCTTTTTTTGGGGGGTTTTTTTTTTTTTTTTTTTTTTTCCTTTATTCTCTTTTTTTGGGGGGTTTTTTTTTTTTTTTTTTTTTTTCCTTTATTCTCTTTTTTTGGGGGGTTTTTTTTTTTTTTTTTTTTTTTCCTTTATTCTCTTTTTTTGGGGGGTTTTTTTTTTTTTTTTTTTTTTTCCTTTATTCTCTTTTTTTGGGGGGTTTTTTTTTTTTTTTTTTTTTTTGGCAAGATGATTCTGAGTTCAGTTTGAATTGTGGAAGATACCACATTTTTAGATGGCAGAGGTGCACAAAAATTATGAAGTAACGTCGAATCTGTCATTCTGCAGTTGCAAGGTTCAAAAACCATTCAGCAGCTACCATTTGTGCTTTGAGCACAAGTATGCTATGACACAGCAATTTTTTCTCCCTTTTATACCTCACTGCAAAACTAATTACCAAAATGATGGGAAATGCTCGTGCAATTTTATATGTGCTGAGATGGCAACATCTGATTGATTGTTTGAACTATATTTATTTTTTTGTCCAAAATCCAATGAATTGTTGCCATATGACATTCTATAAATCTATCTGTGCATTTTCCCAGTACGTGTAGCATTGCTCAACCATTTTATCTGTCGAACTGGTGAGAAAGGCCATCCGTACTTTTCCACTCAAAGTTATGTTCAAGTGTGTCATATTTTCCAAGAGATGTATTTCTTTAGATTGGTTGTTAGATGGCAGGCGAAAATCAAGTGTTCATACATTACTAGCCTCCAATAGTAAGTGGAACGATCTTTTATCCCATCATGCCTTCATGTCAAATTGGCTTACAAAATAAGAGAAGGAAAAGAGAATAAAATTCTTGTAGATAAGCAATTACAAACTGATACATGAAAGAGTAGTGCTATACACACAAATTACAAATAGATATATATATATATTAAAGAAACATTGCAGCAGTGCATGCTGGACCCTCAATTCAATTTAAAGAATATCAATACAAGTTGGTGTGTACATGCAAAAACCATTTGAAACAAAGACTATAGTATGAGCCAACCAAACCATCTTGTGAACTCTCATGAGCCTTTTTTGTCCGTCTCAGCTATTCGTAGCACCTCTTTGGCCATAGAGGAAAATGATTGGGCTGTATCCTGCATCTCATTAGTTTTCAAGTTGATGCCCTGCCCAACAAACATAAAATTCGTTAAATATTAGGACTATCGAACTTCTGGCCACACATATGTCTGAATAAAAAATGACCTCAACTGTTCTTGTACGTCTCTTTTTCCAGTAAAAAGGCATTTCGTTTTGATATTTTGGAAGACAGAAAATATAAAGGGGGCATCTGAAGATGATGATGACAATTAAACTTGATTTTCGATAGGGCATTTATAACTCTATGTTCCTTTTCTTCTATATCAGCATGTTATAGCATTACAACTTCCTTCCGACATCATTTCACCTTATACAGACAGTCCCACTATAAAGCTAAAATCCCATTCTGATACACTTGGAAAATTTATAGAGTAGGAGTTCCTCTTAAACCAAACTCGATTCAGATAAAAAAATCGCGATAAGCAATGATAAATAATACCTGTAACTTCTTCAAATTTTCACTGAGTTTTGTCTTTGCCATGTTGGCAACACTTGACTCCTGCAACCATCTAGAATATTAGGTAATGCTGTTGCTTTGGAAGTTCAAACGTTGGACATTCAATATAATTTCATTGCAGGGGCAAGATTTTCCTGTCTAGGTTCTAGTTTGAAATAATACATATTTAGCCCAACAGTTTATTATTTGAGCCTTTGAATCAATGTTAAGTTTAATGCAAGGATGAACACACACTTACACCAGAAGAAACATATCCATATCTTTTCTTTATTTGATCAACAGCAGCACCAGCCTTCTCTTCTTGAGGCTCTTCATTTGCTGCCGTTTTATCATTCTTCACCTTCGCCTGTTTCAACTTACCTGAAAATTAGTAATTTAAAACATAAACTACCATCATCTTTGACACACTCAAGCTCTTCTCCAGATCCTATCCCAATGGATTATCAATTCTTCACAAAGCACAGTAGAGAAGGAAACATACAAGTCTATTAGTTTATAATGACTAGAAATTTAGTTTCATAAACATGTTTTTTGTTGCTTCTTGAATGACACTGAGAATTTTTGATCTCTCGATTTGATGTCAATTTAGTGATTCCTCCTCTATTACCTAATTGGAATGATAAGCAGCCTGCCACAGTTTTGCTTATCCACTGGCAATTTTTACTGTGCTACAGAATTTCTTCATATTTAATGGTCTCGAGCCCATTGGGTATAAACATCAAAATGATACAAATGTTCCTCACAAATGCATGGAAAAGTATTAGGTATATGGTGGGGAGGTGCAGTGGCAGGTCAATTTCATTCATATTTCCCAGACTACAATTAAATGACCATCAAATCATTATCCAGGCACATAGTATACTGCATTCTCAGAAACAGAAAGATGACAAAAGACTATTATATCAACCAATTTTCTTCATTAATCATACCAATGCCATTTAAGCCTACTCTAAAAGAATCAAAACCCTGCCTACCAATATATATCTATGGATGTCAACTAGATGCATTGGAGTTACAAAAATGTTTGAAATTGGCATCATTCTATGTTCTAAAAAATCAATGTTTTTAATGTTCGAAGAAATATTTGTCTTTTATCTTCTGATTTTTAATTTCTGTTTCCTCATTTTTTTATTATTATTATTTTTTTTGAACAATAAATTTTCCCTCCATATAAGTGCATGTTTGGTTTTGATTAAAATCCAATTTTAATCTAAGTCAAAGTCAAAAAATCAATATTAACCACATCTTTCATGCATCCCATAACTTTTCAACCACACATTTCAAAAACTTCTATCACAATCTACTAAAAAATCTAATTTTAATCCCCACCAAACATTCTCTAAATAATTAGACTTTACTTCAAATCATGCATAAAGCCTTCAACCTTATTTCCTTTCCATGTGTTTATACATGTATAAAAGCCTTCAACTTTTATCATGCATAAAAGTTATCTGACAAACTGTATATAACAATCTGGAGAATGTTTATACAATATCTGGAAGAGAAAAACGAAAATCATATCACTAAGCACCAACAGAAAAAAATGCTTATTTGTTATTACAGGCTTACCTTTAATTGCTTGGAATTTACTTCTGATGTTTTGTCTATTCAATGCCTCCATCATTGGATGTCCTTTCGTTTTCTCTTTTGGATCTTCAATGTCAATGTCATCTTCCAAATAAAAAGCAATAACAATTAAAAATTTGTAACCAGATAACACATATTTTTCTTAAGGGATACAGTATACACGTGAAGCTAAAAAGTTTGGCAAAAAGGAAATACCTATATCCAAGTCGTCGTCATCGTCATTGTCAATAATCTTTGTTTCAGTTTCTACTCCAGTTGGAAAGTTAGCAGCTGAAAATATCACTGGTAGTTCCTCAACACTTTTTCTAGAATCTTCAGCTTCCAACTCAGGTCCATTCTTTGATTTTGTCCCTTTATTTTCTTTAATAACTGAGCTGAATATACCCTATCACTCCAAATTAGCCAGAGAAATAATTAGAACAAATTCAAACTATCAAAAACATTAGAAACAAGTCCAATAATATACCTTCTTCTTTTCTTTAACAGAAGGAAGAGAAACGAGCACTTGAGTATTGACCAGGTCTTTATTAAAAACTTCGGAAGCAGGGTCCAGAAGTCTGAGACCGAGCAAAGCAAAATCAACATGCAAAATACAGTACAAAAATAAGTACAAATTTGATTAGTTCTCTCTCCCACAATTATAAAGAGAATCAACATCATTGCTCCCTCTGGAGAAAAAAAGGATTCAGTCTAAAGGGAAAAGAACAAGTATTTTGAATAGTTTACAGTTGCTTGAAATTTAGGAAGGAATCAATCATGAGACGTTCTGAACCAAAATTCAAAATCTTCTACGACCCTTATTACCTGTAAGTCTCCATGCGGAGAAATATAGAGAGGAAGAACAACTCTTGGTCGCCATTAACCTGAATGTAGAACGATATGGAGCTCGTGTAACCATTCTGTTACAAAACTTCAAAAAACAACTATCTGGAATAGCAAGGTAATACAGCCTTACAACGATAAGTTCACCATCATGTGAAGAAGACACTGAATTGTCAGAAATTGAGGATGCTTTCGATGTCATCAATGTGAGTCCATTCACTGAAGTTTCCTTTAGAAGGGATAGTTCTGGAAGAGACCTGAAGTTTTGAAGTATCACGGGATACACATTCATAACTTCCATTACACTAACAGCATGAGATGGTAATGAGGATAAGCAATAAAGAGAAACTGTTTTGCGACATCGTCGCAAGAAGATTTGTTTTTACTCAACACATATTGGTTGCATCAAAACAGGCAATTCTATTTCACTGCGAGCACAATGAGACGTATCAACCATGCTCCTACAGGCAAAGCACAACATCGGATATTCTATTTTTTCTTTCTAATTTTTTTTTTCTTTTCGTGCAAAAAAAGGGCAATAAATTCTAAGGGAAAACAATAATATGAACTTCTTTCAGTTTGAGATTCTATGTTGTAATCCTAACTAGAGATGCACGATTGATATCTGCTGCCAACTTCTCGATATTATGAGCCCATCAAAGTGACACTACAGTTCCTATCACCCGCCTCACTCAAGATAAAGAGAAGTAACAAAATTGTTGGAGAAGGCAACAACTAGTAATTAAGTTGATCTATTTCACTGCCCATCATGTTTAAATATTAGTCCTATCTGAAATTTAGCAGAATAGTTTCCTAATCGAGGCACATTCAAGATTCCAGTGTTGTCTTTATTTGTCTGTATAGGGAAATTCCTTGTTCTAGTGCCTTGAGCTCATTTTGTATAAGTGGAGACACGTGGTGTTACAGTGCATGATTTGTACACTCTGTTGCCACCAAGAGATCAATATTGATACTTGGTTTGAAGGAATGATTGCCCTCCTTATCTTTGTTGCTTAGCTCACCCGAACCAAGATCTCTAACCGAGGAAATATGATTAGAAGTGCGATATAACATAATATTAGGATATAATATTCAACAATAAAGATTATTATTTTCATGGATTTTCTTATATTTCATTTATTTCCTTCCCTTAGTTACTAGTTTTAAGTAAGACAATTTTTCATTTTGTAGTTCAATAGCTTTTCAACTATGTAGACTATTGGTTTGATAGTGGACTTTTGAGACCTTATAATTTTATAATTTTACTCTCTCGAACTCTATTCTCCTAATTCTTCTCTCTTGTTCTGCATCTCCAGTTTCATGGTTTAATATCCGTCTTGAAACATAAATCTCAAATTTTAGAAACCAGGTACTAGGTCAAGAAAGAGCTACAACTAGGGATGTTGATACATGGGCTCACTATTCATACATTGGTGAGCTAACGACGTTCCAGAAATATGACTATGGGCAAAAATTGAAGGAAATTTTCAAGAAATCAATTACTATAGTTGAAAAATGGTACGGGGAAGACACATCTTCTTACTTAGTAAATCATAATTGGCTTAGTTCTTGGGACACGTATAATGTGTTAGGATGTCTTGTCCATTCTGAAGTATTGGACACACATTTATTTGATGTTGAGAGTACCGTGAAGTTTGCACACGTAACGAACTCAAATTCGTAATCATTTGAAGAGAGAAGTCAAAAAATTTAAATTTTACGAAGAGTAACCAAATGCAATACCAGAAAAGTTCTTCCTCCTAAGATGGGAGTATTTTAAGTGCAAAATAGTCTACAATAAGAACCAAAAACTCCATCAAGTCACAAAATCTTTGCATTTAAAGACACAATTCAACTCCACTCATATATTAAGCCGCAGAAATTTCATTGTGAAGGTAATCCTGGTCAGTAAAGCTTATATGACTCTATGTAACCATGTATGTTAGTACTGAGTAGAAGTGAAATATCACCTTATCTGAATTTTTCCATCAGAGAAAAGAAGTATAAGTCCATCATTAGGAGTACAGAAAGTTGATGCCCAGCAACAAGAAGAGGAATGGAACTTCTTTTTGTAGTGCACTTTCTTAGTTCCCTGAAGAAAAGAGATGATGAAAACAAAAGAGAAAATCAGCTGCAGTTCAATTGCGTATCTTTTATTAAAGGATATATGACAGAAGTACTTTTACCTCAACTACATGCAATAAGGAATATACATAAACAGCTTTTTCTGCACATAACAATAGTATGGCATCATCAAGGTTCACGTTATTAATGCCTACACCATCTGATACAGTATATCCTCTACCGGACCCTCCCTGTCCACCTGTAAAAATTTAAAGGAGGAAAGTGTGATATCAATTCTCTCTAGAGAGTTTGTAAATCCTCCAAATTAATACCAAAAAGAAAGTCTAAACTAAAATCTTACTCACCAAAAATCTGCATAAATAAAGCTCTAGAGGGTTTCTTTGGACGGACCACACTGGAGCTAAGTGTGTTTCCTGTATCACTCTCAAGTGCCAAAACTGATGAATCTTTTGTTGCCACCATCAAAATATTTTTCTCAAAACCATGAAATTTACTAGTTTCAAAATGTGTCGATATAATCCCCGTGGAGAGTTCGCTAGGAATATGCCTTTGATACAAAATAGAGGGACCCTCCGGATCGATTAATGATACCTGTAAGCATTAAGTATTTGAATGCTTAAATGAGATAACTTTTCCTTCAAGTTACGTCAGAAGGATCACATTTAAGGACGTGTCAATAAAAACCGTAAGATAATCAGGAAGAATTATTTTCAATCATAGATCATTATAATTGCTACTATAAAATTCCAATGGAGGTGAAGGATTCATAATCCTAACTCACGCAGTACTTGAACTCAACATCATGTTCATACATTTACAAGTTTTCGTTAACATGACAGTAGAGACATTTAAGTGGGTAAAACTAACAAAACTGACCAAAGTCAACAGTTCAGACATATTGCCTTCCTGCAGTTGCCAATTTGAGCATAAAATCTTCACTATTTTTTTCCATCTACAATTGATTCCAATCAACAAAATCCAGTATATTTACAATAGATTTCAGATTTTGACCTTTTATGTGACTGGATACCAAAACTGCAATAATATTTAGTGTAAACTCTCTATAGGAAACCATAGTATTGAAGAAGAAGAGGAAGAGGAAGAGGAAGAGGAAGAAAAATGTAAATCTTACATATCCTTGATCAGACCCAACCGCAATCTGTTTTAAATTTTGAGCTGCGTGTATTGAAAGTACTGCGCCATTAACCTTTACAAGTTTAATGCTTCGAATGATGTTATTGTTTCCTTTCTTCGAACTTCCTGGTGACCCGTAAAGAAAAAACTTACATTCACTTGCTGCTTTTGAATAATTACAAAGGCATCACATATAATATGAGGCACCTATGTACATGTAATTTTCTTCAAAAGAACCTATACAGAGTCACAGGCTATCAATAACTGCATACTGGCAGGAACAATATAAACTATATAAAATCTGAGCAGATGTGTCATAATATGAAACAGATCCCAGAACTTGCATAATTATCAGTAAGTCTTAACTTTGTAGCTGATATTATTGCCCTGTCTTATTCCTTTGAACAAGGGCAACATTATTGCATCAAAACCAATAAGTTCCTCCAATATTGTAAATTCTGATCAAACATCAGTTTGTATTAAATTGATCTTACTTGGTATTCACAAAAAATTATTTAAAAAGTGAATCAGCACAAATCTCTTTCCAGCATTCCCTCGGCACTCTCATAAAACAACTATGGACTCTAGCAGTATTGAACAAATAATTCCAACTAAATAATAAGAAAAAATAATCTGTGACACAAGTCGAGATTCAAGTGATATTGAAGGCCAAAAAAACCCTTAGTACCTTGCAAGGACAAAAAACTGCTCTGAGGTGCAAATGGCTCTGATTTAAGTTTATAAATGCGGACCTGAAAAAGCATACATAGTAAAAGGCTGTACCACTTCTAAAATCCACATAAATATGCACAAAAATTATATTTCCAGAACTCTATCAAGAAACCATCTTACCATTCCACTTTGATCTCCAGATATCAGGATTCGTGAGTCATAGGCAAAGTACAATGCTGTCAACGGTACACCAGTTAAGGAAAAATCATTATCACTCTGCAAAATCAAGTCAAAATAAATTAGGCTGTCTAAAGTAGTCCCAAAGGTATTAGGAAAAGAAAAAA